TGAGTATGTCAAATGAATCTCCTCAGAGCAGGATGTCATCACTATAAGGTCATACCTATGTCCTGGAAAAAGGTGGATGCAGTTAAGATCTTGCCTGTAAAGATTGTGTGCAGTGCCAGGGTTGCTGAAGTATCCATGGGCAGCCTTGTAAAGGTATATGGTTTTGTACTCTGATAAGGGAAGTTAGTTGGAGTGGGGCCTTAGCAAGTTGCCTGTAAAGGGAAATTGAGAGTTTTCAATGACTTCAAAATTGGATCAGGACATCATTTGGGAAATATTACAGTCTCTTACCTCACACCAAAGGCAAAAATTTACTCGAACTTGACCACTGACCTAAATGTAAGAGCTAAAGCTAAAGCTCTTAGGTGAAAACATAGAATTAAATCTTCATAACCGAAGGTTAGTTTTTTATATATGTCACAAAATGCACAAACAACCAAGGGGGAAAACACATTAATTGGACTTCATCAAAACTAGAATCTTGTATTTCAAAGAACATCATCAAGAAAGTGAAAAATACATTCGCACAAGGGAGGGATTAGCAGTCACTAGGCATTGCTAGGGGAGGGAGGGAAGAGGGTAAAAGTCATGTGACAATACAAAGGATACTTGGTCTATTACCAGGGGGAATGAGGGCCAGTTAGAAGCCCAATCTTTGCTTGCACGCAACCTACTTATGTAGTTAATCCTCACCTGTACCCCACATCACTATAATAAGACAAAATTTTTAAAAAAGAAAGCAAATGGTTTCTAACTCTGTCAACTTCTATTTTGGACTATGTATTTTCCAGTTAATACTTTTGTGGGTCCCTTTGAGCAACCAGGAATTATAACACATTTCCCCCCTTCTACACCTCCTCTTCCTTTGCCATGACTGAGAAATTCTGAGTTTTACTTTCTACCAAGATCATGTCTTTATTCATTTAATTGATATATTATTATACACATATTGTTGAGTGTTTATGCAAGGAGCTGTCTGCCAATTCACAAGAAAATATATATGGTAAATAAAGTGGAAGTCAAAAAAGAAAGTGAAAAAATAGCCCACAAAATGGGATCAAATATTTGCAGATAATATGTTACGTAAAGGAATTGTATATCCATATATATAATATATAATTTGGAATAATTTATAAAAAGTATTATAACTGAACAATATGACAAACAAATTAAAGAATGAACAAAGCCTTTGAATTCATATACCTTCAAAGAAGATATGTAAATGGCTAATAAATATATAAAGATGTTAAATGTCCCTAGGGAAATGCAAATCAAAGTCACAATGACATACCACTTCAATTCCTCTAGGATGTCTACAATCTAAAAGATGAAAAATAACAAGCATTGGTAAGTATGTGGAGATATTAGATAGTTTTGGTGGAATTGTAAGATGATGCAGCTGTTTTGGAAAAGAGTTTGGCAGTTCCCCAAAATGCTAAACATATTAGGTGCCATATAACCCAGCAATTCTAATTCTAGGTATGTATATGTAAGTGTATGTGTGTGTGTGTGTGTGTGTGTGTGTGTGTGTGTAATAGAAATAAAACATATGTCCACACAAAAATGTGTACATGAATGTTTTTAGTGGCATTGTTTATAGTAGCAAAAAGTGAAAACAATACAAATTCCCATCAACTGGTGAAATAAATAGTATATCTATACAATGGAATATTATTTGGTAATGTAAGGAATGAAGTACTGATCTGTGCTACAGCATAGATGAACCTTGAGACATTATGCTATGTGAAAGAAGCCAGTCCCCAAAGACCACATATTGTATGATCCTTTGTATATGAAAAGTTTAGAACAGGCAAATTTATAGATACAAAAAGTAGATGTGTGGTATGCAGGCTCTGAGGGAACAAGAGAGTGGGAAGTGACTGCTAATGGGTATAGGATTTTGTTTTTGGGGGTGATTAAAATATTCTAAAATTAAATAGTAATGACGCTGTTGGGTATAATGTGTACAGGTGGGGATGGTGGGTATACATAAAGCCCAGAACAAAACTATTTGTACCCTACAAAACTATTGAAATAAAATAAAATTAGAAAAATAATAGTGGTGATGGTTGCACATCCTTTTGAAATGTGTTAAAAGCCCCCTAGTCATACCTCTAAAAGGGTGAATTTATGGAATATGAGTAATGTGCCAATAAAGGTATTAATAAAAAGTATATACAAGGAAAGTGCTATAACTGGTGGTTTTCTGGTGATGGTGGTAGTTAAATTCACAGGCCTGTTTACTGATCAAGTGTTAATGTCTGTAAAGCATCTAGCGCATAGTATGTACTCTAAGGAAATCATTTATTGTGTAGCCCCTTTCTCAAGTTATCTTTGGCCTTACATTTAGAGGCAGAATGGTAGACAGGGTAACAAAGAGGTGCATCCTCCAAGTTCCTGAATACAGTTGAAGACATGATTCAATGCACTTGGCAGTTGTTATCTATTAGAGGATGTTTTGAACTTGCTTTTTGGTTACTTGATGAGTCTGATGTGACTTCATGTGTCTTGGATAAAACCTGTGCTTTGGACTCTGAGATTGCTTCTTGGACTGGAATGTGGGAATAAGCCAGAGAGACATACAAGATAATTAGTGTGTTGGACCTGGGGGAAGTGACAGATCTTAGTTATGGAAAACATTTGTTCCAGGAATTGGCTTACATAGGTACACAGCATTTCCAGGCCCAAGGGCCCCATCAATGTCCTTGAGGTGGGTACCACATGGATAAGTTTGAGTCAGACTCCTCTAGGCTGTAAAAGATAAACCACTTGTGACAGGCCAGAGACTCTACAATGGTGTAAGTTAATTCTACATCTGTGCTTTCTGGGATTGAGGAAAGACTGGGATTGTTCAGTCTTCTTCAGATCTTTTTCTTTGTGCATATGTTGGAGAGTGGAAAGGGTCAGGTGCCATGAAAAGGGTAGGAAATATTTGTCCTTAGTCACTTAGAAGCAGCCCTGTTCTCATGGTTTCCTTTTTCTTTCCTGATTCTATTTTTAGGACTTTGCAATTATCCACAAGATGAAACCTGTGGAGGACTAATAAGTTGCAAGCCTAAGTCATGCCTCATGTGAGTTGAGGTTGCTTTTTCCCTTCATCAAATAGTCATTGTTTTCTAGGATATGAATATTGAATATCCATATCCTCACACTTCTTACTTCATTGAGCTCCATCTAAACATCTACTATCCTGCTTACTTCCATCCCAGGGAATGATGAGAAAGAGCCAAAGGTCTTTCTCAGCTTCCTCTCTCTTCCCTGTCCATGTGTAGGAATTCATTCTGCAAATCAGGAAATACATTTGAGGAAAGAGTAGAACCTCTTCTGTCAGATTGTGGCTTGGTAAAGGGAGACTATATATGCAAAATTTTGTCTTTCTCATTTACCTGGATTTTCTGGTTAATTAAGATGGTAATTGGTTGCAAAATTAGAGAAAGTGCCTGAGCCCTGAAAAGCAAAATGGTTTTAGAATGTAGTAATGTCCCGTGCTCTATGAAGCATTAAAGATTGGAAATATAACCTAATGCAGGATTGAGATACAGGGTTGTGTCCCTCTGAGAGAAATACCAGTGGTGAGGTACATTTTGAATTTGAATTGTATGTGTTAGTCAAGGGCCACAGTTTTGTGTGCATAGCTCATCTTTCATCTGCTTTCTGTTGCTGAGAACAGGCAAAAAGTATTCAGTGAGCAGTGATGAATAGTAGCATGGTCAGGCAGATGATTAAGTGGGTGAGAATTTTAGAAACAGTTGTGAAGGACTTTAGAGAACGCATACAAACTGCATGCCATAAAATTTAAAAAACGATTATATTCATAAGATAGAATATTATATGTCCTATACAAATTATGTCTATGAAAGATTTGCCAGGGCAAGGAAGACTATTATTGCTAAATTATTCTGAGAGACTTGAGTTGGAAAGAACTTCATATATGTAAATCTTTTTTTCTAAGGTAAACATTTTTAAAAAACACTTTGGAAGGTGCTCATGAGATTTATTCCTTTATTTTTCCCTCTCTCCCTATTTTCCTTTGTTGTTGCTGTTTTCAGCTCTACAAAGGGAAAGGAAGAGGCAGGAATTTGCATTATATAAGAATTGGGATGTGCTGTGTGCTTGCTCATATTTTTCATTTAATTGGAAAACTACACTTGATTGGCATTTGTTCATTCCACTAGCTGTTTCCAAGAAGCTATGGTAGAATAATAGGAATGTTTAGAACCTCTGAGCTCTCTCCATCTGTTATACTCACTTCCTTTCCATTACCTACTCACTTTGCAAGCCTCCAGCTTTATTGTACTAGAGGAGAACCCCAAAATCTGGAATTTATTTATTAAAATTATATATTTATTTTTACCTGTTTAAACTTCAGTCACCTTCAAAGCATTTTTTGTTTGACATGATACACCTATTGAGGCTTTTCACTGTTCGAAGTTTTTGAACTTGTTAATTGATGCATTTTAATGCTTCTGCCATTTTTTGTTTCACCTTTTCCACATCAGCAAAACATTTCCCTCTGAGAACTTTTTTCATCCAGGGAAACAACAACAACAAAAAGTCACTCAGCGCAAGACTGGAAGAACAGGGAGGGTAGGGCAGGAGGGTCATGCTGGTTTTGGTCAAAGCTGCTGAACACTTAGCACAGTGTGGGCAGGTGTGCTCATAAATCACCCATCATGAAATGGGCAAATGCATTGAAAAAATCTCCAAAAAAAAAAAAAAAAATTCAGTGAAGTTGAACGCAGCCTCTCTCAACAACACTAACTCGTACACTGATGCCACTGGGTTCCTAGAACACTTACCTAGCAGGGAAAGCCTGTGCTACAAGGGGCCTACTCTCCAAAAAGATAATTCCAGTTTAGGGGGGGATCCCCCTTAGTATTTGCTCACTGTTTTGGCTCCTTTGTGTAATTCTTTTCTTTTTTCCCTCTTGTGACTTCTAAAACATATTTATCAAATTTATTTTACCCTTCCCACTTGGATTTGTCATTTCAGAGCTTGGTAGTGTTCAAGGATGTGTCCACAGACTTCTCTCAGGAAGAATGGAACAGAAGGATCTGTAGAGAGATGTAATGTTGGAGAACTACAGCACCATGGTCTCAATGGGTAAGTTTGTCTCCTCCCAATAATTCAGCTTCATTCTTTGTGAAATTTGGGAAAGTTTTCAAGTGCCTACCTGAATTTTAGACCTCCCAAATAAATTATTTATAACATATAGCCTTTGAAATGAACATTTCCATCAGGCACCTTTATCTTCTCCACTCTTCAGATGCATCTGGATTTTTTTTTTTTTTTTTTGTAATTGACATTCTTATTTAATGAACAGTGGCTCAGTTTTAATTATTAACAAGCAGAGCATAACCATACTCATTTCCATTCTTATAATCAGGATTTTTCATTTATAAACCTGATGTGCTCTCCTTATTGGAGCAAGAAAAGAGCCCTGGAAGGTTGTGCAGGATGTGACAAGAGGTCAGAGCCCTGATGAGTAAGAGTTGGTCAGGCAACGGGAGACCATTCTGGGTAAGAGATAAATTGCTTAATAAGTTGACTACATCTTTGAGATATTAGCTGGGAAATTTCTCAAAGACCCAACCAAGGTCTGTGGAGAAAAATCTTGAGCCCTGGAAAGCAATATGGATTTAGCATGGGTTACCAAAGGGAATCCCTTCTATACCCCATTTACTATTTTTCTTGCTTTTCTTGATTTTTTCCCATATTTTCAAATAGGAAACAGCCCTCCTTTTCTAGTGACAACCATTTTACTTATATTTTTGATCAAATGAAACCTTAAAAGACTTTATCCAACACATATTTTTAAATGTCCTCTAAGTATTGAGAATATAGCAAGGTACAAGACAAATGTCCTATCTTCAGGTGCTGCTGCCTGTGCGACTGCCTTGAGGGTCCCGAGAGAGAGCGGCGAGAGATTAAGAAAGACACAGACACAAAGACATAAAGAAAAGCTGGGGCCAGGTGGGACAGTTTCCTCTGATGGAGGAGAAGTGACCCTGAACTAGCTCTGCACGTTTATTTTATAATCAAGCACAAGGGAAGTTGGAAGGAATTCAAGGTCTGTGAGGGAGCTATAGTGGAATTATGGTGCTACCTAAAAGGTGAGCTGTTCTGCAGTTATCTTGTAGCTAAGGCTTTATCTGTGCTACGTGTGGGCACCAGATGTGTGGGCATCTGAGACACCGTTTCGTGTAGCAGGCTGCATCCCTCACAGCCTGCCTTTGGCTAGAATGCAGAGTTTCCAAGCAAGACCTTACCTATGAGCTTGGGGCCATAAAGTGAGACCTTGCCTTCACTTGGAACCTTTACTTAAGGGCTGCTACAGTGACAGTGCTTGTCTGCTCCCCACATCACATCTGCTCCCAACATCTCCCCCTTTTTTATTTTCTAAATGCAGGTAGTGGACGGCTACTGCAGTGGTTCTGAATTGGCATTGGAGGATTCCGCATCTGACTGGCAAAAAATAAAGGAGGATTAGAGCAAATATGAAAAGACTCAGAATATACCAAGCAGAATATTTTAATATATTAAAGGAATTGAATCCCTTGAGATCATTAAGACGATTTTGTGTTATTTGGGCAGGTTGTAAGATAGGATCTTGGCTATTCTGGATGTCCAGAATATTGTGATGGAGCTTAAGCAGGTCTATGCTGATGTTATTGAGGCTCCATTTGCCTTGGAGATGTTTTTTAACTAAATTCCAATTCCAAAGGCTGCTATCATAAGAAACACAAGTAACACAAACCCAATTGTATGCCGCATGGCATTGTAACCGTTGTTTCATTTTTATGCTGTATATCTGGTTTCCCAATCCAATGACTGCAGCCTCCAAAGCATTTAATTTTGTGTTTAGCTTTAAGTCTATGGATTCTTGTTACTGTAGGGCCTTGGAGGTATTTTGAGCCAGAGCGTTGACACACTCGGCATTTTGGATGGATTGAGGCAGTGCAGCAGCAGCAGTCACTACAGAAGCAATGACTAAAATTAAGGTCACCAATCCAAAAATTATCAATCCAACGGCCCTGCGAGGCCGGGAAGCAAGTTGGTGGTGTAATTCCTGAAGCACCTGTAGTCCTGCATCATACCAAGGGCCTGATATGTGAGTAGGAATTATAATAAAGGGGGACTGGTGTAAAACCAGGATGTCTTGTCCTGCATTATGGCGGGTGACACAGTTTGTAAGATTACAAGAGTTACATTGTAAAGTATATTGATTATCTTCTGGGGTGACATTAACAGAGCCTGTTAGAAGGACATAAGGAGGTTGGACACAGGCCCGGACCCATAGCAGGGGGAGGTTGTAGCTTCCTCTCAAATCGACCAATGACCCACTAGTAAAGTTAACAAAATCAAGGGAGGTGGCGAGCCATCACAGTTCCTTTGGGATGTCACCTTAGTAAGTAGTAAGGATGTTGTCAACAAAACCACCAGCAGGAAATGAATTCATGGTTAGGATGAAAGGGGTCCAGTCTCTGAGACCAATCATAGATTAAGACGGGGGTTCCCGTAAGGTTTAGGACCATAGGCATAGGAGTGGCACATTCTATCTACTTGGGGAGTTTTCCAAGCTCTATCCCTGTGCTATTAGGACAGTATAGAATATTGTAGTGATCTTGGGAGACATTATAAGTAGAACTAGGGAACCTCCACTTAGATATAGTTTGTAGATATTTTATTATGTCCCAGGAACCCGAAATATTAGCTGTTTGTATAGCCCCGTAGGAGGTTTTATTTTCTTGACTCATCTTAAAACAACCCAACTTAGAAGTATAAGGCAAATAGGAGGACTATTACTAGCCCCTGTAAAGTTAAAATTTTTACTATGGTCAGTAGTAATGTGTTTATCAGAGTGTCCTCCCAACATACAGGTATCATTGGTAAAGACAGGGACCAACCCACCAGCCCAGGTAGTGGATTGAAGAATGGGAGGGTCCAGGAAATAAGTCCAATAAGGTTTTCCCCTTGTTCTACCAACCTTACAAGCAACAATGGCTATCATGGTAATGAAAAAGGCTTCGGGGGAACTTGGCCCCCTGTTCTCCTCAACCATTTATTGAGCTCTTTGAGTCAGACATTTCAACTGGCCCCATGTGGGTGGAGATATTCTTTTGGTAGTGGCTGCAGGGCGTCAGAGCCTCAGTCTTGTCATTGGTTCCTTCTGACTGAGCAGCTGCACCAGGACTGGTGGGGAGATATTCAGCTTCTTGAATCTGGATTCCAGTCCTTCTGTTGAATCCATCAACATGTTGGATAACTATCTCCGGGAGCCAAATAGGTTTATAGGCTCCCTCTGGAAAAACACAAGCAAATCCTCTGGCCCACAGTAGCATAGGATTGGGTCCCCTCCATTGGTTACTTTGGAGGTCCTTCCATTTTACCAGATCCATAGGATGTCTAGGATTAGAGGCCTGATGCCTATCTGTAGGTGTTTGGCCATATTCATCACAGTTCAAAAAATTAATTGTAAATAATGTATGGTTTAATTTGTAATGGGGGGAATGATAATGCCCATCTCCCACTCTTTGTTTTGATAGTTATCTCTTTAAAGTTTGGTTGGCACATTCAATAATGGTTCGTCCTTGAGCATTATAAGGGATTCCTGTAATATGAGTGATAATAAGATTGGCAGAAATGTGTAAAGGCAGCACTAGTGTAAGCTGGGCCATTGTCAGTTTTAATACTGGCGGGCTTACTAAAGAAAGCAAAGGCTGCCAAACAATGAGAGATTACCTGTTTAGCATTTTCTCCCATGTGGACAGTGGTGAAAATAAAGTGAAAAAAGGTATCTATAAATACATGGACCCATTGTAATTTACCAAAACTTGGGATGTGGGTAATGTGCACTTGTCATAACACATTGGGTTTCAGTCCTCAGGGAAATGAATAACACAGTCCTCAGGGAAATGAATAACACATTGACGAATGACTTGATGGGTTTGTTCACTGGTAAGGTGAAATTATTTTTGGAGGCATTTTGATGATGCATGACATGAGAGCTTGTACAGCAGCACAAGAAGTTATAGGCTGTGAGGTACTATCAAATGATCTATAGCTTGATTACCTAAAGTCAAGGGGCCAGGGAGTCCTGAATGGGTGCAAATTGGCAAACCCGACTAAACAAGGAAATTGGCAAGCCCGATATCTGTTGTAAAGTCCAGAACAGGTGAAAAATTGTTTCAGAGTTGGTGTGGCCAATTGTAACTGTTTCGATTACCTGAGCAACACCCACTCTATAAGCGCTGTCACTGTAAACATTTAGTGGCCTATTAACAAAATGTGTCGAGGCCAAAATGAGTGCCTGGATTTCTGCTCTCTGGGCAGACATGTGAATGGTTTGTTGAAGAGAGGCACCCATTGTACTGTAATATCCTGCCTTGCCATTGCTAGAGCCATCTGTGAAAATGGTTTAAGGGATGGGGGAAGTCTTGATCACATTGGGAAAAATGAAAGATGTGGTGGCAATAAATGGCACCAATCTATGTTGATGATAATGATTATCAAAGAGGCCAGGGAAATTAGCAAGAGAAAGTTACCAAGTGGTAGAGTTTTGCCATAGCCGGGTTTCCTGGGAGGTCATGTATGGAACAATAATGACTTGAGGTTCTGAGCCCATTAGCTGGCAAACGAAAATGACTTTTGGGAATAACTTGAGCATCTAGGTCATGAAAAGGGGATAGCGATTTAGAGGGTGTATGGCCCAAATGTAACCACTCTAAAACTCCATTTTGTTGCTATAATACCCCCGTGGGTGGATGAGGGGTAGGAAGGACTAAAAGTTAATAGGCATGACAGGATTGACTCAGGTAAGTTAAGTCGAACAAATAGCTGCTTCTGCCTTTTGGAGGGCCATAGTGGCTGTAGGCATAAGTTGGCATGGGGAGGTTGGTGAAGAGTCCCCATGGAGAATATCAAATAGTGGCCTGAGCTCTTTAGTGGTGAGTCCAGGGAAACTACAGAGTCAATTAATATCACCTAGAAGTCATGCAGGGTGCACAGTGAATCTGTTCTAATTTGAAGTTTTTGAGGGCGTATTTTATGTCCTTCTATAATGTGAAAAGGGAGTAATGTTTTGGGTCTTTTCTGGTGCCACTATCAGGCTATTACTGGAAAGGGAAGCTTGTAGGCAGGCAAATAGTATAAGTAATTCTTCCTGGTTTTCATTTGCCACAAGAATATTGACCATATAATGGATGATATAAGCTGTAGGATGTCTCTCTAATAGATTTGGTCGCTCTTGCTACATATTCCTGACACATAGTAGGACTATTAGCCATACCTTGGGGCAGAATCTGCCAGCAGTATCACTGCACAGGAACTTGGTGGTTAAGCGAAGGGACATTAAAGCCAAAATGATGGCAATCGTCTGGATGGAGAGGAATGGTATAGCAACAGTCTTTTAAGTCTAATACTATTAGATGGTAATTCCATGGGATCACAGTAGGGGAAGGAAGCCCTGGCTGTAGGGGTCCCATAGCTTCCATAGTTTGGTCGACTGCTCGAAGATCTTGGAGTAGTTTCTATCTGCTGGAGGATTTCTTTATTACAAAAATAAAACTATTCTGAGCACTAAGAGTAGGTTTCATGTGCCCTGTTGTAAGCTGTTCCTGAACACGGGCATTAACAGCTTGGAGTTTTTCTCTGGTTAGGGGCCATTGATCAACCCAAACAGGATTATTATTGAGCCAAGTAATTTTGGAGCAGTCTGGGTTGGAGAAGGGATCAAGTCCCCCACTGAAAAGGCTGTTGACAGGAGTACCCTAGGCCTTGTTGTTTTGGCTTGGGGGTAGCCTGGATGGGGGTAGACATTCCTTGTTGATACTTTCCCAGGCCCATTGTGGGAAACATTTGATGAGTGACAGCTGACCCAGGGCTAAGAAGCAAAAGGCCCATGTTTGCCAAAATGTCACGACTTCACAGATTTACGGGAAGGACATATGGCTGAAAAAATCTTGATGTACCTTCTCCATCATCCCATTTAAAAATTTCAGCACTTTGATTAGGGGAATAGATTTGACCAATACCCATCAGGCTAGCGAATGTCCTATTAAGGGGCCAGGCTCTTGGTCAATGGTTAGTGGCCATGACAGAAACATCTGCCCCAGTGTCTATGATGCCCTTGAGGGCTTGCCATTGATGTTTAAGCTAAGTTCAGGGCATCCCTGTCTTATCACTTGAGACCAATACATGTGGTCAGTAAACCCAAACCCTATCCTTCGCCTCGAGGGTGGTTACTGAGCACATGTTCCCTCTTATTAACTGGAAGGAGCACTAGTTGAACAATTCTTGTTTCAGGAAGTATTTGTATAACGGCATTAGTAGTTTGACCCATAACTTTAATTTGACTCGTATAGTCATCTATAATTCCTGGGAGTACTTAAAACCGCTTTAAGATGAGGCTGCTATGCCCCCAAATTAACCCAACATTACCCGCAGGGATAGGCCCATACACTCCAGTATGAATGGCGTGAGGCCCCATTTCTGGTGTCAGTACATAGCTGGAGGTGAGACAGAGGTCCAGTCCTTGCTTCCTGCGGTTCCCCGGAAGAGGT